GGGGGGGGGGGGGGGCGAGCAAAACCGCATTCGAGCTCGAACCCTGCCGAGATATATACCCTAGAACGATAGAGGCTGAATTTGCCGATGATGGCCACGGCCAGCCGCCCGCGCGCGCGCCATAAACGACTGAGCGGAAATCGGATTAAGTATAGAGTGCTGCGTTAGCGCGCGCGCGCGCCTCGTCGAGCCACTTTGCTTATACCTATATTACGCGATGCACATGTATATCTACAGGCTGCAACGCTGCGCGCGCGCGGTACTTGTGGTCAATTCGGCGTGCCCTGTTCATGCCGCTTGCCACGGTGCTTTACAAGGAGTCATCGCCTTTGCTATATTAGCAGCTTACCGGAGGAATCGACTGCATTAAATGCCCCACCGATGCAAATATATAACTGCGATTCGCTACAACACGGCAGTATTTGGAATTTTGATTCTAATCGAGCTTGTAATAGATATGGGTGCAGACGCGCATATTGCTTTTGTCTTCGATGATTCTTCTGAGCCCGGCGCTTAATGAGGGTAATTTCGATCGAATCAAATTACTCCCCGAAGGATTGGATAACAAACTAATTAAAAGAAGACGGCGGGCTACAACAGCGCGCTGGCCTCTGGTGAGAGACGATTAAAATTAATGACATCATGCTTTCGGAGAGTTTTGACATTAATGTTCGTTGCGATCAAGCCTCAGCTGCACCTCAGCCTAGGTCCCTCTCAAATTATACATATCTTGTCAATTAGTTGACCAAACTTTTATCTTAATTTTTATTGTTTTCTCAACGTTATAGCGAGCTCCGAAACTTCCATGATGCGCGACACGAGAGTCGCATCGTTATATGCAACAATTATGCTCACGAGCGTGTTTGCTTACACTTTGCAAATATCGCAAAAAAACTTTTATTACGACGCTACGAATGCAAAACTCAAAAGACGTTATATATACTACTGTGTACGTATACGGCGCGCAATTAAACCTGCGAATCGCATGCGAGCCGTGCAAGCTCTCTCGCTCTCTCTCTCGCTTTATCGACCGATGAAACAGGACGATTCCACAATTTCGACTCGGGTGTATAATGAGCTGAAATACGCGAGTCCAGGTCTTTGTATCCTCGCATTATACGTATACGTATATACGCGGATATAATGTAAGTCACGTAGAAGAGTCACGGCACACAAACGTGAGCATACATATACATTAACGGGTGAAGGGGCTAGGGGCTCGCGCACACGAACCAGCAGCAGCAGCAGCAGCAGCAGAGAAAGAAAAGTCCCGGAGAAAGGAACAAATGTGTGATGTATGTGTTACTTGTATGTATGTGTGCACACGTGTACGTGAAGAGTTCGTGTGTGTCTGTGTGCAGCAGGTACGAGCTCTCGTGTCGAGTGCGCCACAATGCAGCACGCGTCACGACGACCTTCACCCCTTGCATAGCCGACTCCTCCTTCCACTACTACTCGGGAGTGATACGCGCGCCGAGCACTGCCTGCTGCTGGCTGCAGCCATCGGCACATGACTCGCCTCTGTATATGCATCTGTAGAACTATTACGTGTGACTGAAACGCGATTCTTTTTTACTTTTTTTCATATGATCTTTCCTCCTTTCTGTTGCATTTTTTATTATTCCAAAATTTTGGAATTTAATGTACAAGCAAGACCTTGATGCCAAAACTCTAGCTGCCCAATTTCGAGCAACCACGAGGGTCGAGAAGAGAAAAAGGAAGAGAGAGAAGGGAATATAGAAGGAGAGCGAGATATCTGACCTGATGAGCTTTTGCGGCCCTGGCAGCTGGGCAATTAGGAGGAATCGATGCCGTGCATTTTTGCAAACTCTCGAGTCTACCCAAGATTCTCTTTCTCTTTCGCTCTATTTCATGGGTAAACTAATAAGCTCGAGTTGCACAATACTCTCGTACACCACTTGGTTCGATTTGAAAAATCCTTTCTCTATCCTCGCTTCGTTTCATTTTAATATTCAGCATGATAGATGGGGCTTCCACGCCAGCTGCGTGGACGCTCGCCTGACTGTACTCGAGCTCTTCTACTTACATCTCTCGTGCAGACGCGTTAGAAATGTTATCTTTCGCTCGAAAAAACAAAGCGAGCGCGAAGCGTAACAATGGATTTAGGCTTCCACGCAGAGAGACGGAAGAAGACCTTTCCGTTATATGTATAAAATTCGATTTTCAGCAGCTTGTAACTCGATATTACATATAACGGATGTCGAAAAGAAAGTGGAAAACTGTGTGACTGGAGTACTTACGCGCAGCCTTTAAGGAGACAAATTGTCACAGTTGGGTTTATACAAGAGAATGAAATTCGCTTCTTTCAACAAAACTTGCTCTTCTGTTCCTCTCTTTCCCTCCCTCCCATCCTCCTTCTTTCGAGCACACTGGAGCTAAATGCACCTGGTGCTACTTTCGTCATCCTTGCCTACTCCTCGATTCTTTTTCCATCTCCTCTGCCTCTTTTAGCCAGAGCTCGGTGGCTCCTTCTTTTTTACCTCTCTTTCTTTCACTTTTCTCATTATGTTGGAGCGTCGGAGAAGGGGAGGGGGAAGAGGGTAGCCTTTTGGCGCTCAGTCTGTGCGCGATTGCACGCCGAGCGAGAGGTACTACTTTTACTCCACACCACTGTGCGAGCTAGTGATAAAACTCGAGGGATACGCCCTGGAGGTATATCTCTTTTTTGTCTCGTCGTTATATTTCTCTTCTTTCCAGTTTTGAAGCCGTGTACGGCTGGCTCAAAAAAAGATTAGTCATCCATAACTTCATCGCGCTAGGCTTTTCGTCGCTCCTATGAACTCGTCGTCGCTGGGTTTGAGGATTCAGTGAATTTCACGGAGCGATTCGAAACAATTTTTAATTGCAAAGTATCCTAGCTTTTTTTATTATGATATCGTGATAATGCTCGAAGCTTCTCTCTTCTATTTTATTTTTTTTAACTTTACATTATTTACGCCAATTTGTTTTCCTTAACAAAAAGGCAGTGGAATATTTATTAATTTTAATTCTCGTGTTGAAAAACTGAATTTTCTGTCAATAGCATTTGCAACATCATATTTCGAGACGATCATTATTTGTTTTACACCACTCAGAGAAAATACAAGCAATATTTTCCGTAGTATATCACACTCATCAAGGTAAAATCAGTTTTCTTAAAATAAATAGGAAGTTAATTTTTTTCATTTCCTCTTCCCCTCATCAGCTACATTGCGACTTTTCTCTAATTTTGTCCTCTGCGTTATTACGTTTCTGAAATTCTCAAGGAACTTATATACTATATTCTCGATTTGAAAAATTCACCACTCCAGGCATTAAATCAAAACCCTCTTCTGAGTAATGAACAACTTCAATCTCGGAACTTCGAATACCGAGACACAAGTACGCGCGCGGGCATACCGAGAGGGCGAAGAAGGAAAAAAACACGCAAGAAGAGCGTGTAAAACTTTTTTATAATATACAAGAACAAACGTACAGGTTTAAAGCTCGTACTTTTTATTCAAGACAATCAAGGTGTAAGCACCGTAGGAAACTAATAAAAAGCTCAGCCACTATCTTAACCGTCGTAATCACGTACTTAACTTGCTTTATGCCAGGTGGCAAAGTAAGACTCGGCCTCTGCTATACGCTGTATACAGGTATAGCCGCTTTCATTGCTTTTATTATTTGTTTTTTTTTTGCTCCTCTCAACGCGCGCGAATCTACGTACGGTGTGTGCGGAAGAAAAATATAAGACAAATGTGGATGAATGTCGTTTCGTGTTTAGACGTCATCGATCAAAGCGCGTTATGAGCTACACATATCTAGCCGTGCACTGCACCCATATCGCCCGCGTGCGCGAGCTTATCGATAAATCCATTCGATGAAATCTGTTTTGTACTAACGGCTTGCACACACACACACACACACACACACACACACACACACACACACACACACAGACGTATAGGCATGCATTATAGATGTGTCTACGATATATATTATCGCTTATTGCCGTTTCGCATTCGACAATATAATAATTCAGGTGAGAAAAAATGATGCATTACACGGTTTACAAAGTATCGATCCGATATTACTCGCTACGTATATGCAGACGTACGAGGAAATCACTCGAACGATTGTTTTGAACAGCGGAATTCACGCGCTCATTTACCATGAGCGGCAGTGGCAGCAGCAGGGCCGTGCTGTGCAAAGAAGCACAATGAGAGCGCAAGAAAAAGTCGAAATCGGCACGTATGGCTTGTCGTCGCTCGGCAGGCAGGCGAGAGTTAGTTGCATATGTGCCTCGGTGCGCTCACCGGGGGGCGAAAGAGAGAGAGAGAGGTTGTTGCGACTAGCCGAGCGTGATTTATACATGCACGCCGCCGCCGCCGCCCGCGAGTGTTTGCTGAGAAAATTAATGGCGGCAAAGTAGCACCGTTACGAGTCGCAGCTAGGCTTCTAGGTCCTTGTTGTTTGTCGTGCAGTTTATGTTCTCACCCGCTCCTACTCCTCCTCCACCCCTGCCCTTCGACTACTCCGCAGCTGCAAAACTGTTATGTGTGCATGTGTAACCACTCACGGCACGTAAAACTGCCGCCACCGCCGCTGCTGCTGCTGTGCGACTGTGCGTCAAAGCGCTGTAAGGGCCGAGAGAGCCGCGACCGATTATTCTCATTTTCACTCAGCTGCACACGCGCTCGCAGGTGCGCGATTTTCAATAACTCACGTCCTTAATTCGCCCAAAATAAAAAAAACGCTGCATGCGCCCTACAGCATTAATTTGCTCGCGCATTTAATCGTTGAGTTGAACTTTGAAATTTATTTTTCGTATAAATTTAGTTTCGCGCGTGCGCGCCTAGAATTGATGATTCATTGGTTGTGGATGAAATCATATTATTTTTTTGCTCTTTTCTTGCTTTCAGAACTCCCACGCTGAAGGAAAACGAATGGCCGGCGTACACGAGAGATCAGCCTAACTACTACATTCTCAACGCCGAGAATAACGGTATGGGCAAGGGTCCACGAACGACCGCCTGCGCATTTTGGAACGACTTCATGCCCAGGCTAAAAGGAGCACCAGGTACAGTAAACGTCGCATATATAGAGCCCGAAAATAAATACCCCAAGGGCAGAATAAAATTGCCAGCTCCGATATACGATATGCAGTGCGGCGCTTATCGACATTTACGAACTTCTTTGATTCATGAAGCTGGAGAGCAATTTTTTTTGTTTTTATTTTTCAATATTCAGAAGATCGATACGAGAACGCCTCGGTTATAGATTGGTTCGTGTCGACAGGATAAGAAAATCGTGTATTAATAGCGCCGGAAAAACGAGCAACGTGTAATCGGGGACTACGTCAATCGAGTGAATTTACGCCCATTTATTTCGAGCCTCGTCCAAAAAAAAAGGACAATCAATCGATGCGTCTAGCGCTCGAGCGTACCGAGATATTTCAAAAGTTGTGCAGGTCCTTTTTATACCTACACACACCCACACGCGCTTTTATACTCTTGACCTCGTTAGGGCGCGGCGCGCATTGCGTCGTCGCGGCTGAGCTCTCCGAGTCCCAAAGTACTTCTCCCCAACGAAGCCAACCTCTCGGGAGGTCGATAAATAATTGATGTGTACGTCGCGCGTCGTCTCCGCGGCAGTATGAGCAGTAGGAATCGATAATCCAGTCCGCCCGTACTGCGCTATTCACTGACGACTTTCACATGCATCTCTGTAAATAAATGCATGCGAGTAAAAACTCCGACTTGACTGACTGAACGGTTAGCATATTGATGCATCAACATCAATCGAGAAAACTATTTGTCTGAAATCAGGGTATTATATCTTTATATCGTGTAGGTTTGTCTTGGTGTTGCCGCTTTTTTGAGAAATTTCTAGTATTTCGAAATAAATGAAAAAAAAAAAATTATTGAACTGTAAAAAATTAAAAATCACCTAGACTCGTATTTTTAAAATCCAATAATAAAAAATATGATTCTGTTTGTTCCAACGGATTTCGTATTGCAATTTTAGTTTTTTAATTAGTCACTTTATTGTCCTACATTCTATTTTGAGTGTAGAATTCTATATTGATGTTCGTTGGCTAAATTTAATTTTGTTTATCAATTAAAATAAAAAGATTTGTGATTTTCTGATTTCCCTATCAGACTTGTACAGATTATTTTAAAATAGATACTCTATTTTTTTCTTTAAAATAATTAATTCCATTTTGTTTTCTCAATAATTCAAACAATTAAATTTCGCTTAAAGTAATGTTACTTGTGAAATTTTAAAGATGATCGATACGATAGATTTGTTGAGCTTCAATTAATCGATGTTTCCTTGCAAGTAAAAGAACTGGAAATATTTTTAAAAATAGACAAGAAAGTTTTATGCACATTATTCAGATTGTACTTTATTAGTTGCAAAAGTGCGTCAAGCACTCTGAAGAAAAGTTTTCCAGCTTGCTGCTTACATATAAAAGGACGCGTATACTTGAGCAACAATGGGCCAACTTCAGACGTCGGGCAGAAAAAAAAAGAATACCGGAAAGTTCGAGATTAGACAGAGATTATAAAGAAGCCGCTTATTTATAGTCTTTCAATGTATCCGGGAGAATGTTTCAACATGTTGTTCCTTCTGCAGGGTTGTTAACAGCGTAAACAGCAAGAAAGTTTGAATTAACGTGCTGGATGAACTTTTGGTTCGATTGTAGACTTTTTGCCTGCACCCAAGTTTTGAGAATTATTTTTCATCTCTCGGAAAACAGCTTACATTGATAAATCGCGATAGACGGAAGACGGCAAAAAAGTGTGCTCCAACGCCTCGTTCGACGTTTTATATAAGCCGTATGCATTCAAGAGGGCGAGAGGTACTTTTTTTCTCAACTTCTTTTTTTTTCACCTCTCGTCGGCAGGAAGCTGGAAGAGAGCCTAGTAATATAGACGGAGTTTCGGGACCTTATCTCGAGCGAGCAGCCGGACGTTTGATTTATGACGCGCGCTCTGCGACTTCGGTATATACGACGTTGAATCAATCGGTCAGCAGTTCAGGCCAAGTCGTTTCGGCTATACATATATCAACAAAAAAAATATATATCGTGACCCAGATTTTCGCTTCTCTTTCGTAGTACCCTTTGTGCATTAATAGTTGATTTACAATTGATTGCGAATATAATGTGCTCCTGGTCTGGATTTGCGTTAATTAATTGTTCGATCCGACACGTCCAATGACGCAAGTAGCGGAGGTCGTCGTGTAGTCAGACGCACACGTCTGTAGACGTGTGCTCGCCCTTAAAGTCCCGATTATTATATATAACTCAGGCGATTTGCGCGCCGCGCACAACAACATTAATTACATCCCGACGCTCTATGCATCATCTCATTTGCAGATCCAACACCCGAGGTGTGCAACAGCCTGGTGGCATCGAGCGTCTCGTCGGGCAACACGAGCACATCGAGCAGCATGATCTTGAGCCCGGCCAAGAGCGTCCTGAGCACGCTGCTGCTGCTTCTGCTTAGGTCCCTGCATCGCGACAACTAGAGCAACGCAGCCGTCTGTCAGTCTGTGTAACGAATGTAACTCGGCATTTATCTGATATAATTGTCGCTCGTATATATATGGACACTGAGGAGCGAACGAAACAAAAAAAAGAGAGTAAGCGCGTTTAATAATATTTAAAGCTATGCGCTGGCTCGCGCCGTTATTATTATTATCCGGGGCTTAGAAAGAACGGGGCAGACTGCGTTCAACAATATCGGGAAAAAGTGTGTGGAGATCCAAAAAAAAGGAGAGAAAGAGAGAGAGAAAAAAAATTGTTCTACTCTTTGACTCTCTATCTCGCTCGTCGGTGATGACGACGACTATGACGACGACAACGATGGCCCACACCTCCGAGGTATATGTAAAAATGTGTAAGTGTGAACTTGTATGCGTGTGTGTATACGTGCAGTTTTCGTGTCAATAGGTTAAAGGCGCGGTTGTGCATAGCGAGCGAGTATATAAGCGCGCGCTCGCGAGAATGTGCAGAGAAAAAGCAGCGCACTAACAGAGGACTACGTACAACACACACATACACACGTGTGTAGTTGGCGACGCCAGCTTTCTCTCTCTCTTTCGCTCCCACCCTCCCTCTCTCTCTCTCTTCTTTTCCGATCATTAGCGACGTTTTTTGTGTCGACGCGAGCGCACCCGAGCTAGGCTAAAGAGAGTACGTACGTACGTCATACAATCCGCGCACACCTATGTAATACGGACACGACGAGGAGCAACGACGAGACATTAAATTCCCTCCCTTGCAATTACGTATATAGATGTATACATACGACATTGTCATCGTCGTACATTGGGGGTAGCGCACACACGTGCGCTGGTTATTTTTAGTCGACTCTTGACTCGATATACCTACCCTGGTTTGCGCGAACTCTTAATGTTTCGGATGTTGCTGATGGATCTTCTATTTTTATTATTACTGCGTGATTGCTTCGCACGCACCTGTGCTTTAGCAGGCTTACGTCGCGCAGCTCGAATCCTCTTCACGGGCTGCGTGCTCTTGTTGAATTTCTTGTTATATTGTTGTTGTCGTACGTTGTTATTGCTTTTTGTCAATTTCGCACTTGTTCCACCAGTACATTCGATAATTGTTTGTATATCGTTACTTGGTACTTATGGAAAAATGTCTATTTATCTATATGATCGATGTACTGGAAAAAAAATGAAAGAAAAAAAATGATGTCCGTCGGTGATTGATTGCTCGATTGCGCCGTTACAATTAATCATTCCTGACCATGTAACATGCCTATTGTTTGTTATACGTGCGTATATCTTTTCCTTTATAAATATAAATTATGTTGGGCAAGTTTTTCGCTCGCGGCAAAAAATATGTTCTAGGTATGTATCACTACGAGTTACGGGAAAAAATCTGTTCGGTACTGTATCGTATATAGTTTGTTGTACTGCTACTTGTTTGATGTTTAGATTTGAATGTACGAACGGTGCCTCGTACTCTGCTAACAAAAGCCAATGAAAAGCTCGGGAAAAAGTCTCGAACCGGCTATTCTAATTTTTCCATCCTACTGTATAGATGAGGAAACATGTGAGTACCAAGTGCTGTTGAACAATCAGCTAACATGAGCGTGACGTGCGCAGAACTACTGTGAAAACGAACTTTAAAACTTTGAGCAAGACTTAGAATCCTTTCTGTGCCGCTACCGCTGCTGCTGCCGTTCGAAAGTGTATACATGTAGGTGTGTGCGTTGATGCACATGTAGAAACTCGGGTCGATTCGACGCTTGATCTTTTTATTTCACTTACGTTTCACGTCCTGCAGCTGTCTGTGCTCTCGCTCGTTCTTTTTCTTCCCCTTTTCCTCCACGACGTCAGTTTAACGAGCACTGCTATACGAGTACACGTAGCATCCCAGTCGTCGCTACACCCCAATACACGCGCATTGCATGTACTTGTAACGAAACGTCGTTATATGCGCTTTTTTCTCCACCTCTCTCTCTCTCTAGCATATCCTGAAGCAACGATTGGTACAAGTCAATGTGAAATGGCGAGTAACAAGGAAAATTTTCTGAAAAATTGAGGTCATTTTTTTTTGTGTTAGCGCTTCCAGAGCGTGAGGGATATTTTTACTCTCCTCGGACCGTGTGCCGTATGTGTGCTCGTACAGGTATGGAAAATGTGCAGAGTTTGACACAAAATACGTTCGATGATCCAAGTACATATTATATATTTAACGTATAGTATCATGCGCTCCACGTCCATATTTGGAGTGAACATCGACGAATAATAAAAACACAAAACCGATCGAAGCCTAAACAAAATCTACTAGAGACAGCAAACCAGTCGTCCAAGGCGACAAATTTTAATAATATACATATTATATATGATATATATTATAAATGTATAGTGATTACAAAAAATATTATTACAAACAAGAGAATTGAAATCCGAGCTGATCTAGCTTTAGCCGACATCCTAAACGGTTATTGCTGAATTTCGCATACATCTGCGAAGACGACGCACGCTTCCAAGTCGTGCATGATCTAAAACAAATTTGTAGCATCATTGATCTCAAGTAGCATACCAGATATTTGATATTAGAAGCAGAAAACCAACAATTAGTTGACACGTTGGAAATTTTGTATACTGCAAAAGAATAACTAGTTGATCCCTATTCGTGAAGAAAAATTACAGTTACCCTGTTGCATAACGTTTACTAAACGAATGCGGATATACGTATAATAATTCGTCGTTAAAAATAAAGAAAAAAAACCATTGCGACAACAGAAAAAACTGGCCACAAATGCAAAATACGGCGATGATAATGTAACAGAACGAGGGGAGCTGATAACGAGAAGAGAAAAAGCACGCGCTCACGTGGACCGCGATCGTGTCCCACGGTATACGTCGATGGTGCGCTCGTTAAAAATATACAAAAAAAAAGAAATTTCTCTTTTAAAAAGGCACGAATCTTCCATTTGGTACATATCACTCGTAGATTTTAATAGATACTAACAGAATGAAAAAAAGGTAAATAAAGTGTATATTTATTATTATGGACAAAAATATATATTAAAAATATGTAAGATTTGGTTGAAAATTAATTGAAATATAACAGATAAAGGTAAAAATTGCGTGCGATAAAAAATGATAAATAATGCAGAAGCTTCAATGATTTTATCATATTCGACGTAACGATAATAATGTTAATGTTATATATAACGTATATTTACAATAAGAAAAATTAAAATGACGATGCGTTGAGTGCGAAAATTGATGGATGAAAGGCGACGATAGGAGAAGCCGTGCAAAAACGAGGAACAAGTAAGCTCGATTGACGAAATTTCTACCTATTACCAAGAAAAGGATTTACTTGCAGTTCGATAACAGGCGAAGATACGAAAAAAAATATCCACAATTACGGACTTGAGAATCTATTAGATTAGGGTATTGATCGAGTTTTTCTTGAATTTCTTTACTATAAAATATATCATAAGTCATGTTCGAACGATAGATAGTAGGAGAAAAGCTTATATTTTTCGTAAAACCAAATATAGTGGAGAAAAAGTGTAAAAAATATTTTATAAAGTTCCATGACATTGCCTTTTGTGTAGTTATACATGACAGTGTGTAATACGAGTGAAAAAGAAAAAAAATTAACAATTGACTTAACTAACGAGATATGTATGTTACTCGACTGCACGTGTCACGTTACCCATTATCAGTGATAAACCGGGAGTAAAGAGGAAAAAAATGCATAAATAACAAAAAGTAGATACCCAAGTCCGCCGAGAAAAAATAGAGAAAAAAAAACCATGCACGAATACGTATGAGTCCGACGAGCTATATTAAATAATATATTATACTTATAAAACCTATGTGCGAAAGATTGAATCGCGTGCAGCGCTGTATTCGCACGATAATCTGTAAACAGTATACATATATTCGCATATAATTGCATAAAATTACATTAAAACGTAACGTAACATATAAAGTACATATATAGGATTTAAAATTGAAACGAGAGAAAAAAAAGCCGAAGGCAAAGTGTAAAGTCTCGTATTATACTGTATATCTCATGAGTGTACAAATACAAAATAAATGGATATTTTGACTAGATAATATCTTGTTTCGTTCTGCGCGTCGAAATAATCATTATAATACAATTAAACAATGTAATATTGAATAAACGCGAATTATATAATATTGTACATAAAACATATTATAAAACTGACATTCGGTCATATTTTCATCAAATTGCACGAGCGGAAAATTATTTTCTATATGCGTAGATGTGTTTGAAAAAAAATGTCAAATGTGAACTATCAATTTATACATAATGCAAGAAAATATATGTAAAAAAAACATGCTCGCTCGCAGCTAAGGAGACGCACTTGTAAAAGTTTAACGAGTGTAAAAATTTTCTCGTGGAGGTTCGGTTCAGACAGATTTTACGTTTCATGTAAATCCGCGTGTGTGCATATATAGACGCGCGCGCGTATAACGCTAGATCGACGAGAAAATAGAAGGGAAAACAATTGTACATACAAAAGAATTTCTTATAGCGTTCCACATTCGCGTATACGCAAATCGTGTTTGTAAAAGTTTATGGAAAAAAGGAGAGCGAAAAAAAAGAAAATGCTGGGGGTAGAGTCGATGCAACGGATCGTGTCGTTTGAGGAGAGAAAAAAATCTGATAAGAATTTATCGCGTATTCCGGACACTCGGTAGCTTTATTCCTGGTAATAAAAATCGAGAAGAAAACTCGCTTGTTCGCCAGAGAGAGTATATTATACGATCAGCCGTTTGAGTGGAAAACAAGAAACCGTTACGAAATATGCTTCGTAAAATTCCAAATTATCGGCGTGTTGTAAAAGAAGCAAATCGGACTGTTGATGAATATTTTTATGTGTTCCTTGCCATTTTGCTGCGCGAGCTTAATAAAAACTAAAGAACTATATTCCAAAAAAGCAAAGTCGTGACTTTTTGCCGAAATTTCTTTGAAACTTTCCGCGCGTACATAAAAGTACAAACGCACTCTATTCTAAGCCGTTTGAAAACGTCTAAAAGGATTTATACTTCCGACAGTTGAGGGGGGTTTCTGGGCGAAGTTATGACGTAGTTGGTTGCGCATTTTCAAGTGAATAGTTTTCAACTAAATCCTCGCCTCAATGTAAATTATTTACTTTGCCCTGTATACTACTTTGCTTTTGTACATGATGCTCTTTTTTCTTTCGACATTTTCTTCGTCACTTTTTCAACAACAACAAAAAAAATAAAAGAACAAACAGACTCGCTCGATCTATCAGCGTGGTTATCTTTTTACTCTTTTCCACACGCGCCATCCTTCATTTTTTTCAATCATATTTTAGCCCAGTCCGATTGTTTGTTTTATTTTTCATTTTCAATCGAAGTCACGCATCGTTTGAATCGGCTCCCAGGACGAGCTCACTCCCTCAAATAACGATCCATAAAACGATTCAGCGTGTGTACGAGCCTCTTTCGCTCGTGTCATACGTACACGTTCACATATGTGGTACGTGCAGGCGCAGCAGCACGACTCTGTACACCCCCGTTGGTTGGTTTCGCACAAATAGAGTCGAATAAAAAAAAATTACCTGCGTAAGCATTGGCCCCCGGAACGAGAGTTATCGCTGCACAGAACGAATTGTGTTACACAGCGCGCCCGTACGCCCGCTCAGCCGCGTATGCTCGCTCGTTGGCTTGCACTTGGCTCTAATTAAATTACTCGACGATGCGTAAGCTCATACACACATAGCCGCCACCCTCGAGTGGAGTACACGTGTGCGTAGAGGTGGATATGCTTCGGTGGTTTTTACCGAGCGCATCCTCGTAAAGATCTTTGATTTTCGCGAACGGTACAAAATTTTCAGTTCAAAAGTGTGTTGCGAGGCCGTATATGTATACACCTATACAAAGAGAGCTTTGCGCGGCATATGCGCGCATATTCATACATGCACGAGAATTGTGTACATAATAGGTGTTGAATTCAATGCTATATACGCCGTGCGCTACTGATATTTTGCCAGAAAAGATTGAAAAGGAGGTTCCGGTAATGAGTTACGAGTACATATACACAATTATTATTTTACATCGTGCCACGGAGCACACGACTGTTAATCAAAAATTCCAATATAAACGCGCAGGTGCACTTGTAGCCTCATCATTTATAACGTAACCTGCGATAAAACGTATAGCTAGGAAAATATATGTGTATAGATACGGCAGTCGGCATGGCGCGCCAGTGCGTTTTGCTAGCGGATTAATCGATAAAGCGGACTCTTACAAAAAAAGCCGCTCGCCAGTGTGACTGCGAAGAGAGAGACCTGCCGCGTCGTCATTCTCGCGGTGGCAGTGACGTCATTGCTAAAAGTACGAATCGTGACTGTACCGCTCGCATATGGCCTACTCTCTGTAAAATCGAATAGCCAACCACTTTTTATTCTGATTGCATAAAAAACTTATCGTCTTTGGTGTTATAATGGTTCTAGAATTTTATCATCATTTTTGGGACCGTTTATTACCGTCAAAAGAACACAATAGTCGCGCAACACATAGCGAAAACTAGTATTTTTTGGCATTAATTTCTTTTTGTTCTCTTGGATTTTCTGTAGCAATTTGACTTGAAACCTCTTCTTGAAGACTGGAAAATCCATCATGAACATTTAGAAGGTATTAGTTAAAATTGTAAAAAAGTGTCGTGAATTTTTGGACGATGAAAGTCCAGACAGAACTCGATAAAATTCAACTTTTATGTTTTTCTCTTCATTACTTTTTTGGGTATTAAATTCTACAGAGAATCAGCCATATATAAACGGTGATCTCTCGGGGCCAAACTGTCTAAAAACCCGCGCGAATGAGAAAAAAAATTTCTGATGAAATTCTGGATCCTATAGAAAATCATTATGCGTTTTTATTTCGGTTCGACATTAAAGGTTTAAGACCGGAATCCAATTAATATAATTACTAATCGGCATGATTTTTGTGATATATTTGTCAACGACTAGAGGTCGGTGAAAAAGAACGTATTAGTCAGAGGTTTGATTAATAATGGAAGTAAGGAGATCTGTACAAAAGATATTTTATCCATATGAAAGTGTAGTGGAACGGGGAAAATGGACGCTTTAATAAGTGGGCCGCGACATATCAAGCTAGATATCAAATATATAGCCAAGACGGATGGTGTGTAAGCGCGACGCGATGTTTTTTTTCAGAGGCATAATTTATCAAGGGGATTGATTCGAAACAAATTCAGAGCCTCACATAGGAAATAGATGTTGATTTAGAGGAAAAAATTTATTAGCGAAAATTTGTTATTATTCGAATTGTCAAATATAATTATATATTCCGAAATATCATTTTTACGTACACATCTAATCGGATGCAAATTTTATGTCGACAAACGATGATTTGCGATGTATGTAAATATGTAAAAATGTGTAATAAAAATTGTGGCATGTTCATATTTTTGTATGATGATTTTGAAAGATCGCTTGATTCAGTACGAACCGAACCTCCAGAGGACGCTGCAAGTAAATATGATAAAAAATGTGTAAGTCAAACAATTAAATAAAAATGTATTAATGTACATAAATAATGTTTTTTTTATTTTGTTAGTTTTAAATTGAAGGTAATAGTGTACTAAAATTCCTCGGATGTTAGTAATAAAATCTACAATTTACGGGCTTATCAGTGACACAATATCGTTTAAAATTTAAGATGAATGTTTTATTATAGTTGGAAAAATCTGCTCGTGCGCATAAACATTCAAAATAACATTGACTAACGACACATTTTTTTGTACCAATGCATAACGATTTTAGATTATATCAAAGTTTTTAAATAAAGTTATAAATTATTGTAAGCCCTCAAAATTCAAGAAAAAAAAGCTAGCGTATGCCAAAGAGT